ATTGTAGTGGAAGGTCACATCAGAGGTAATACGAGCAGCCTTTGACCCTATGACGTCAGACATTTGATCAATCAATCAGCATTGATGTTTCTAGTGGATTACCCACAGTTCCGTTCACTACACGCCAAAAGCTCGCTGTAACAGACAGTTTTATTGGATAAACCCTCGCATCATCAAGAACACGTCAATGATCCTAGTGTAGTAAAAACAAGTAAAACGAAATTTTGAACTATAAAAAAACGAAACGAAACGAAACGGAATAAGATCTGTGTTTTAATCAAATTGATTACAGGGTACGTTTTCGATCATAATAGAGACTTTTGGCAAGCGGATTTTTCCCATCCGTATCCCGTATCCGTATCGTATACGTGATACGTTGCGTCAATGTAGTTTTAGAGTTTTGGCAGATTTTAGAAATTTTTGGTTTCACTAATGTATCATTTCAGAAAGTTTAGCCCGTAGATCAACCAGTATGCAGACAGGCGGGAAAAATATGAAAATTCCGAGAACAACCCATCAAAAATAATGATTAAATTCAGTCGTTATCACTGTTAAAATCACATCAAATATACACCTTCGTGTTCTAGGATACACATAGATTCATAAAAACGCTATGATGCAACATTTCAGCGTCTAAAAGTAGCAAAAACGACGGTAAAAAGACGACAGTGTTATACGGACCATTTCCGTATGAAAGCCGTTCCATACGTGCTGCCGTATCTGTGTGCCGTATCACGTATGAGAAATACACAGACATTGATGACGTCACACGCAAAATCCAAACGGATACGCGATACGGACCAGGAAATTACGCTTGCCAAAAGTCTCTAATGTCTTTTATTTACTTATTTGTTTCATCTAACTACCTGTGTAACTATATTGTCGCGATTTTAAACAGACTTGAACTGAAATGTTGTCAAATGAGGAATCGTATATAAATATTATCGCGGAATTACCAGTACGCGCGTACGCGCGTGCGCGCTGTATCATAAGGTCTGTCATTGAGTCAACTGGCGTTGTTTCGATTCCCCGGATGTACGTGACAAGTAGTAGGGTCGCCTGTCCAACCTCGGGGGTTTTCTCCGGGTCCTCCGGTTTCCTTGCACTGCTAAACACCTGTCTAGGTGCCATAGATTAAAGAATTATCTCCTGTAATGTTAAGCCTATTTATTAATACCAAGGTACATAATTATAATTACCAAGATATAAATTTAATGAGGAAATTATAATTCTTCTGACGTCAGTGGTATTAGATATTAATTTAATTGAAACATTAGTAAGCTATATTAAAAGCGAATTATTGAAATAAAATTAAACCATGTGTTAGTCTCGAAATGAACTAGATTTCCCCTCTCTCTCGCTCTCTCTCTCTCTCTCTCTCACACACACACACACACACACACCAGCCAGTACGCAATGGTCGATTACTGTAGGCCTACTGTTTTTCGTTACATCTGATAAACTGTACGTTGTTCCTTTCCAGGTTCTCCGCCTTCCACCAGGGTGGAACCAAGCCCGCAAACCCAGATGAACATTTTCGGACAATATAGGTATCAAACACGGGGCCTAAACGTCTTTTTTTTATCGTTTAAATATTTAATTCAAAAATACAAAATGGCTAAAAGGAACAAAACTCAACCTCAGTATATACTAGCACTGACTGGAACTCTGGACGTATAATGAAAGCACGTGGCTTCCCATGATCACTGTTTTTGAAATAGGGACTGGTTCTACACACTGTTCTTCGTCTTCTACCCGAGGCGAAACTCTTAAAAAAAAATTCCCACGATTCGGAAAATTCGAGTACGTTCGGCATGAAACGTAGCATGCTTGTTCTTTGTTTGAAATGACGTTACCATTCGAAGATGGCTGTGATGACGTCATCGGCGGTTACTGGTTCACATTGTTCGCTCATATGTCATGTTCTTCACTTAGAATAGTAATCAAGGATTGATTTTGGGACACAAGTTTTGTCGACATAATGTCAGTGGTTGGAGGTCAAGTTGAGCATGTCTAAAAGAGTTATCTCCCTGTAACCGACAGCATGTAGCACAAAATAACGACCTCTCCTGTTGTAAATGTATAATACACGTGTCTTAATGTATACTGAGAATTTGTGTGAAATGAATCTGATAAACAATGAATTACAGTGTTGCACTGTGTCTAGTTGTTCTGATGAGGCAAGAAAAATCCAGGTTGCGTTAACACATCGGCGTTTACGTAAAAGAACCATCAAAATAAGAGTAGGTCCTAGCGACGCTGTAAAAAAGGGTAAAAAGGGCTCATAACGCAATGTCTGTTTTCATTTGCTCAGATGGAGCAGACAAGTCGGAAGAAATACACATTATATTTGATTTCATGACCAACCAGTGACTAATCGCAGACGTAGGGTGATGACCAATAAAAACCAGCTAACAGACGTTTGCAGAAATATGTTGTTGGATTTTTAATATCACAAATACTACTTATTACTAAGTGATATCACAACTAGACTTCTATAATCTTTATCGAACAATGATTCTCTATTAATTAGATTGGATCATTTCCAGCAGTGGTCATGACAAGTACATTACATAATATTTTATATTATATCTAATATTTCTTAATTTTATCGCATGAATCATAATTATATATACATTTCATTGTGAAAGATGTAGGCCCACTGTGTTTGCCCCCAAGACTGTCAACAAATAACTTGACAGGTATACTGTAGATCGGTAAATATTGAACAAGTAAAGACCACTGGGGATTGTAATCACGATATGACGTCATATACACCAATATATCGATTACATACGTTTTGTTTATTACTTCCTTTGTCTGTGTATATTATGTGTTGTGTCCCCGGGTTTGCCTTTTTTATGTGTTTTATTTGTGTGTAGTGTTGTCATCCTATACTTGGTAGCCGTGGTGGCTCAGTGGGTAAGGCAATGTCCTCTATCCTGTTTTCCGGCCGTGGTTGCTCAGCAAGGTGATGCCGCTATCCTATTTTCCGGCCGTGGTAGCTCAGTGCGTACGGCGATGGCTCCTTATCCTATTTTCCGGCCGTGGTTGCTCAGTGAGTAAGGAGATGTCTCCCCCGCCTATTTTCTGGTGTTGTTTCCCCGTGACAGTGATGTAACACAAAGGGTAATGAAGGGACCTTTTTATTCGGATAGCAGAGCTACAGCCTACTGTTTCGAATGCCAACCGTCAAGTGTTCTTTTAGGTGCACCGTGTACTGTACCACGTCGGAAAACCCCTAAAGAACTTTCGCGATAAACACATGGATCGAACATCGGGGCTACCGGGTTAGTGAGCCAACGTCTTAATCACTGAATCCCCGCGGCTGTCTGGAGCTTGTAATTATGATGTGACGTCATTGTTACAAATAGATGGATTCGATATTTAATAAATTGATATAATGTGACGTCTCACGATGACAGAATACAGTGTAATTGAGATAATCAACAATCAACTGTCTAAAATTTTAACACCTTTTGAATTTATTATGATGAATTTCTCACATAAATAACATAACTTTTGTTTTAACAGTAAGTTTACTGCCGCCAATTTCTGACTTTTATGCACTGACAATAAAATGAAATGAAATGGAGCTTAATGTCTTACCTCTCTACACCCACTGGGCTAATGAATTGTTTCATATACAGGAATATACAGGTCACAAATCTATGGAATACAATTACTACTGACCAACCAGAGATACCATTAATTAGGCCCTTGGGTACTATACCGACATGCCTGCATCGCATTAAGAAAGTAAGATTGTTACAGACATGTAAGTATTTTCCTTCTGTTCTTCGTATCTGATCAATGAGTTTGACTACCACATCTCCATACTGATGTCTGTTAAACTGTTTCAATGGCATTTAGTAATTGAACTGGAATATACAGGTCACAATTCTATGAAATACAATTACTGCTTATTACTGAGCGACGTTTCGACTAGGCTTCTCTAGTTATTATTATCAAGCAATGATAAAATATTAAATATGACAAGACAATATATACGTGTAAAAAAACAAAATAATTGGGTAATGATGACCACCCAGAGACATCTCTGCATCGCATTAAGAAGGTACAGACAAGCAAAGGTCATGCTATGTCCTATGATGGAAATGTAATGAAATGGGCTTTAAAGTCCTACTGTTCTGCTCTGACTGGGCTAATGAAGATGGGCTTATGCCATACAGTGTGCTATGAGGGAAATTTTGCCCTGGCAGCGGCACTACGACCTACTCTTATATCGAATTCCATCCGCCAAGATCTTTTATGTGCACGCCAATGTGTACACGGGATAGCGGTTTTCGTCCCATCCGAACGACTAGAAAGCTGTAATTGTTAGGCCCCCGTCCTGCACCACTGACAAGTGGAAACCACGCCGGATAATCCCGATGAACTTTCTCGGACAATACCGGGGTCAAACCGGCGACCTCCTGGCTGGCAAGCCAGCGTCTTATCCACTTAGCCACGGCGCCTACGTCCTATGATGTACATTTTGTACGGGGAGTGGCTTTTTTGCCTACTCTTAACCGAATCTCAACTCTTAAATATGCTTTTATTTATGTTCATAGGTCGACGTATATTCCATGCGAGGCTCTATGTTCTACGCCATTGCCAAGGGAGAAAGCACGTTGGACATTACAAGGGTACTTTATCGCCCAGCAGCGTTACGATCTGGTCGCAGTAAGCTAAGTCACCGTACCTCCCCACTGGATTGGGATGGATATAAATGGGGTTTAGCGTCCACTCGACACAAACTAGACTATTTCGGGACTATTATATGGTTCAATTTTATTAAAATCGTTTGTGCGTAGGTGTATTTAGCTGTTTGGTGAAACCAGAGGACCCGGAGAAAACCCACAAGGTTGGACAGGCGACCCTACTCCTTGTCACGTACAACCCACGCCAGTTGACTCAATAACAGACCTTATGATCTAACTCGCACTCGTTAAGCCAAAACCCAAGCTTCAGTTGAAACAAAATAAAAAATTACAAGAGATATTTGATTATATTAATTTATTTATGTTATAATCATAATATAGGTATTCTATGTTGGATTTCTAGACTAAGTAAATAGAATAATGTGATGGTGTTTACACGTATTATAAATACTTTCCTGAACTCCAGATAAAATCATTAAAACAAGGGACTTAATCATGAAAACTTTAATTGACAGTCTATGATTGATTTACCTAGCCGTTGAAAGATTTATCTACCCTAGTACTTATTTTTAAACTGATCGGATACTGTAGAGTGAATGGTGGTGTGTTTGAAGTCTTAGGGATTTGAATAATTTTATTCTGAAGACAAACTGTACAGTGCCAGCTTGTGAGTGCGGGGGGGGGGGGGATTAAGAATTATTAAATGAACAGTAAGTGATACGGTTTTCCTTCTGAACAAATAGTTCCTCTTAATTTTTTTTTTAAAGATGGATAGGGAGAAATGGGGTTTAACGTCCACTCGGAAGACAATTTATTTGAAAACCCATTTCACATAACCATAATAATATATAGTATACGGCCGAATCAAAAGGGATATATAACAAGCCAAGATATACATACACTGTAAATAAATCAATCTAGATTGAGATACTGAGCAACCAAACACCTCCAAGATGTTCATGATTAAGGCCCTTGACTATTTAATTAGTTATTACCCTTTTCTCAAAGGTACGTCAAATAAATCTAGTTACATATACATAAATACCTGACAGTCTAGAAGGTATATTGAAACGGTGTATTACATCATTATACATAAAAAGGTATATAGTATTTATTGTACTGACTGGACAGTCCAGAAGGTATATATTGAAACATTGTATTACATTAGTTCATTATTATACATACAAAAGTATATAGTATTTATTGTACTGACAGGACAGTCTAGATGGTATATTGAAACAGTTTATTACATAGTATGTCCTCTACTGACAGCACCTGTTGCGTCATTCATGAAAGTCCCGATGCGCTATTTTGCATTTAATATCAAGAAAACAAATTCAATATAGATAATAGATAAAAGTTATGACAAAGTTCAAACTGTTTTTAAAACAACGGCCACAATTTTAAAAATGTATATAATTCGTCGATCATAAATCGACTATAAGATAACAAGAGATGATTATTATCTATAAAAGTTCATGTTGTAAATTGTTTGGCGATGAAAGAAATCGATTTATTAATAGATCGCCTGATTTGTAGTTTAAAGCCCGTCGGATATTTACGATTCGTTAGGCTGCAGACTAAGATACTATTTGATAAATTGTGAGATTCGGCTCTTGCGGAGAATTAAAGATGCATTATGTAAAAGCTAAAGCTGCCTATTGCAGATCTTTTTTGTGGTTTCAAACGTTATATAAACTGCTGTATTATTTAGACATTTATTCACATGCCAAGCCTATAAACAACTCTCTAGAGCATAGGATGACCGAGATTTAAATGGATTGAAACACGGTCCCCATTTAATAATTTAATTTAAAAATGGTGTATTAGTCTCGATTGTCAATTACCGTTGCTACGATAATAAACAATCTATGATACATCTTTAAGCAGCCATAACTTCAAACATAAATATCCATTTCTCATGATCTATTTTAGAAATAATAAATATTATAACAAGAACGTCCAGCTTTTTGTCTAAATCTTACATAATGCATCTTTAAATGTTAGATTTAAAGTTGCATTATGTAAGATTTAGGTACAAAGCTGGACAAATAAGCATAAACTGCCCCGGACACAACAACAGTCTATTCTCACATCTTCAACTTTTGCAAAGTTTTATAATTTTGTATTATTTAACATTTAAAGATGCATTATGTAAAATATTACAAAATTATAAAACGTTGCAAAAGTTGAAGATGTGAGAATAGACTGTGTTCGGGGCAGTTTATGCTTTGTGGTCCAGCTTTGTACCTAAATCTTACATAATGCAACTTTAAATCTTAAATTATTTATAATATATAACATTATTCTACTCAATTACAAAAAGTTATAAAAAGTTACAAAAGTTGAAGATGTGAGAATGGACAGTTGCTGTGTTCAGGGCAGTTTATGCTTATTCTCACTCGAACACAGGAATATATCACTAGTTATCTTTATAATTTCACATAGGTAATCGCAGTTTTAGTAAACATTCGGGTTACTTTAGGTCAATTATAATGTTAAAAACAAAAGGTCGGACAGTTGTGGTGCTCGAGACAAGATATGCTTAATCTCTCTTGAACACATAAATATAGCACTTCGTGTTTGATGAGTTCACACAGGTAACCAAAGTTTGTGGGTTAGGTTTTAGAATATTTCTACCACTCACACTAATAGTATTGACACGATAGTTTGAACATTCGGGTTATCTTGGGTACATTATAATGTTACAAACAAAATGGTGGGCAATATTATAACATGGTTTGATTAAACAAAATAATTGGTTGGGCTAAGTTTTAGAATCAATACAGATCTATATTTCGTTTCGTTTTTTTATGCTTTCAATGGCCTCTACTAAATAAAGATCTGTCCGGTTGTAGTTGACGTCAGACATTTGATTAACCAATCAGCGTTGATGTTTCTAGTGGGTTACACAAAGTACCGTATACCTCACGACGGAAACTCGCCGTAACAGACCTTTTTTATTGGCTAACCGCTCACATCATCCAGAATGCGTGTTATATAACAACTCTTCCAGATCCTAGTGTAGTATAGAGAAGTAAAATGAAATTTTGAACTATAAAAAACGAAACGAAATAGGATCTGTGTTTTAATCAGATTGAGAATCTGTTTACCACGTGCATGAACCGTATAGACACGGCACAGTGAACATCCGGGTTATCTTAAAGTAAATTGTACTGTTAACAACAATAGTGGACAGATTCTATGATCGTAATATTATAACATTGTCACCTTAAACAATATAAATCCTACAGATATTAATTGTGTCCTTCAATATATATTGCACATGTTGGGATGTTATCGACTTACGGTTTGCTACTAGGTGGGTTGCGGTATACGAGAATGGGAGCAGGGCACCCCGCTGTGTTATAAGACCACCCTTCTATACCGCGCGTGTTTACCGCGCTGAAGTCGAGCACCAGTCTAATAGAGAAGCTCAACTGTATAATATGCTAGTTTCGTTTTACACAAAGAAATAATTTACAAGCGTACGTTTAGTACCAGATTACATTTAATATCAAAACCAAGATGGTGGTATTGTTCGTGTTTATCGTCAATAGATAAATAGTTCTCAGTTATATACAATCGACAATATTTTAAAATCCCAAAAAGGTTCGTAAAAATAGCAAAATCAATTGTCTAATTATCTTTTATCCCGTGTTGACCCGATCATCAATGGTTACACATTGTTTAACATCAGTGGCGTATACATTCATGACGTCAAAGATCTGTGTTAAGATGGTGGCTGTTACGTCATATTCTTCGCCATTAAAGTAGTTCTCACTGGTGTATGAATATATATCGGCGTCCGTGCAGTCTGTGTATTCGTTAAATAAATCAGGAGACCACCTGAAAAAAATTAAAACAAATAATTATGAAAGTTTCATTCACATGACGGACTTAATTATATGTCAAAGAAAAAACTTCAAATCAATGGAAAGTCTCCCCCCTCTCTCTCTAAATCTTACACACGTGCAAATAAGATCATAAGATCTGTTATTGAGAATATTGGCGCGGTTTCAATGCCAGCTTGTTCGTGGGTTATCTCTGGGTTCTCCGGTTTCCTACCACTCGTAAAACCCCATTTGGGCAAACGAATTACTGCAATAAAATTGAACCATACGTTAGTAGCGAAATGAGCTAGTGTGTGTGAGAGTGTGTGTGTGTGTTTCGATATTTATAGATAACGGAAAGCGAGTAAAAACAGATACAGACTGAGAATGGACCATCCCTCAATAGAGTCGCGTGTCAAACAAGGGTGCTTATAATACATTAAAATACTTTTCGAAGGATTTAAAGCAAAATTTTGATATAAAAACAGTTTGAATATGTTTTTGGTGTGGAACAGTGGGAGCTTGTTTACCACGGTTGGTGGGTGTATAAAACAAACATCGTACGCTATATCAGGTATAACTGATGGGTGCATTCTCTACACTTGGAAGCAGGCCCGTAAATAGTTGGGGGGGCACAGGGGGGTCGAAGCCCCACTTTCTGCCAGAAGTTTAGCCTCCCCCTCCCCCCTGTGAAGAAATTATCGACCATAAAAAAATAGATGTAAATTGTCCGTCAATTTTACAGCACCCCTGAGAACACTTCCCCCACCCCTCGTTGCTCTGAGCTGGTTACGGCCCTACTTGGGTGACTCACAGTAATTTTAATCCGACTCAGTTCACTCCACTCTTCCTCATGAGTATATATCAATATTATTTATCTTCAAATCTTATACATCTCTTAACGAACGTAATAAAACATTAATGTTTTTTTATTTACTTCACGTCAGTCATCAATATTTCATATCTAAAAAAACACTTTTAAAAAAGAACAACGCCATTAAAATAAGAGTTATTTATAGGCTGTGTGTATCGTAACGGGAGATAACTCTGACCCTACCACCTCGCGCTTATCGTAGTGGGAGATAACTCTGACCTTGCCACCTCGCTCTTATCAGACTTCAGCAGTTATATTTAACAACTCGTATCAAGATCAGATAAAATTTACATCAATTTCCTCCAATTACTTCACTCGAAAATAATATCAAGTCGTTTAACAGATAAATTATATAAAAACAAACATCATTTAAAACAGAAATACATCGTACACGTGTTTTCATATTGACACAATTAAAATGAAACCGGGTTTGACTTTTCTGCACCAATCGTGATAACCCAAGACTGGTATAACCCAAATAAAAACTAATTTGTTTAAACAATATTATCTAGATTAGAAACACGTTGTTTTATTGACAGGGGGTGGGGGGTGGATGGTAGAATGGTTAGTGTGCGCGCGCTGTATCATAAAGTCTGTCATTGAGTCGACTGGCGTGGTTTCGAATCCCCGGTTGTACGTGACAAGGAGTAGGGTCGCCTGTCCAAACTCGTGGGTTTTCTCCGGGTCCTCCGGTTTCCTCGCACTACTAAAGACCCCTATGCGCAAGCGAATTATTGAAATAAAATTAAAACATATGTTAGTCCCGAAATGACCTAGTTTGTGTCGAGTGGACGTTAAACCCCATTTCTCTCTCTCTCTTTTATTGACAAGATACTCATTAAGTGTGGCGCGTATATGGATGGATTATTAAGCGCATCCCCTATATACACTATTATTATGCTTGTTCCTTGGATGTAGAGGTGCGTGTGTGTGTGTGTGTGTGTTTGGGGGGGGGGGGGGTGCCAGGAAAGGTGCGTTGCTACTGTCTCGTCGTTTAGAATTTCAACTGTCAAGGATTTTTTTACATGCTCGCCAAGAAGTACACGGGGACTTAACCACCTAGCCACAGTGGCTCCCCAATGACAAGGGAGCCCAAGCTGGGAAATCCCGTAGAACCTTTCGGGTTCTCCATTATCAACCAACTGATAAAACCTTTCGAGCTGGTCCATAAATAACCCAACTGTGTCATGTGAGTGTAAAGCACGACACGCCCCATCCGATAAAATCCTTTATTAATGAAAATAAGTGATATCTCTTTTAAAGTCACGTTCCCATAAAACGATTATAATGTTCTGTACTTATTTCATAATCTTCTTATCATATTACATGATTCACAGTTGTCTCCCGTTGACAAACTATCTCATCAATTTATAAACACTGTGTCTAAAATAGATACCACCAGATGGCGTCTTAAAACATTTCATATCAAATGGAATTAATCAATTTCAAATAGATTTAACAATCCCAGAAGCCGATCCTCTCTCGACAGGCAGTTTATCAAAATTACATAAAAATGACATTAAAACATACTTTGTATAATTTCTAATGAATTCATTTTTTTAAAAAATTAAATAAAAAGACATTAGTTTATCAGTTTAAAAGGAAACATGTAATTTAATAAACGAGATTATTGGATTTAAATCCAACTTTTACAAAATAATTTAGTATATTTTACTGAAATATTTGAGATTAAGATAAGATATTATTTGCAGGGTTCATTGCGTCTTTATTCTACACTCTATGGTATGTGTCAGTCTCCGTTATCCCAGGGGAACTACATACTAAACTTAGGCTGTCTGTCTACAGCTGGCTCCGCTTGAGAACAGACACTAAGCTAGTTCACCGACATTTTAAGTCCTAAATCGACGATTTTAGTCGAAAACACTAAGTATACTTCGAGAATTTTGAGAAGTATTTATTCTGCTTCCATTTAATGGAATTGAATAGGTTTATATAGTCTTTGTGTGTATGCCAGATGTGAAACTGAGTAGAACCACATTAAAAAGCAATATATATGGCGGCCATTCAGGACAGAGATTTATTCTCGAAGTATGAAGTAGGTGGATCCCTGTGTACAGAATGAGGGGAACTACATACTCCTCGCAGTGTTTCGTTTGATTAAACCTAATCCCACTCAACACTGCTGTGATGAAAGCAAACTTCTGTTCCAAATTATGACTGGTCAATAGTCCCGATTAACAACCAATACCTAACTGCGTTAAGACTATCATTCGGGTATAAACCGAGCTCCAAATATATTTACATAACGTTACGTCATGACTCGCAAAATTTATTGCAGAAAAACTAATTGCGTGACAAACTAGGCTATCAAAATGGCTACAATGTTAACAATACTGTTTGGAGACGAACAATACTTTCACCGTTTTAGGGAAGTTTTAGGGAAGATTCCAGATTAAACGAAGGGCTGTCATGTTGCTGTACTCCCCCAAAAACTCAAGTATCAGAAGTCAATCCAGCAAGGGCCAGTGAAGGATTTCTAAGGCCATTGCTTTAGGAATATGAGGAAACTACGGTATCTCAGTAAGGCAATGACTCGCTTACCAGCAGATAGAGAGAGACCAAGAGAGGGAGAGAGAGAGAGAGAGAGAGGGAGAGAGAGAGAAAGAGAGAGAGCGTCCATTCGACATTATTGTGAACGTGGAATCCCTCACATATTAAAAGACTCTTCAATTCTTTAATACTGGAAATGTATAATAATAATTATCTACATACACTTACAGAGCCGCGGATAACCCGCTAATACATGCTACACATTTGGATGGGCCTAAAAGACTAACGTATCAAGTACAATCACATATTTATATGGAATTACTTCTAATCACATGGCTAGACCAAGTATTGACATAAATAAGCATTGATGTAATAATTTACAATATAAGAAATAAAACAATGGTAAATAAAACAATAAATAGAATCATACGATTGCCATGTTCACGCGACAGGCCATATTGGCAATTACTTTCTATCTATAGGAATTATAATAAATTAATATGTCATTAGCATTACATAACATTTCATCCTTGGCTAGTCACCTTTTAATAGTACACACACAATTACTGTTTTGAAGGAATAGCATAGTTATTGTCCTAAGAGTTTAAATGAATTCAGTTTGAAGGCTTTCACTTTAAAAATTAAAAATGTATTATCAGAAATTTTCTAGATTTTAACTATAACATATATAACCTGCATGGTTATAATATTAATAGAATGTATACATTCCTAATTATATAATGTACATGCATATTTATATGTCAGTAAATCATATTAAAAGTGGATTTTTATACGCCCACATTTTCATGGGGGTGTAAATGTTGTCGTCGCCCCTGTCCGACCATCCGTTCGTCCACAATTTGTTTGTGGACACTCTACCTGTCACAATTCTTATCCGATTTTGACGAAACTTGAAATATAGGTTTATCTCCAAAATATATTAGTTTGTATCTGATCGAAACTTCATGGATTATTGCCCCTGTTGGTACGAAAAATGGAACTTAAATTATATGTTTATATTCTGAATTTTTCGGTTCCTGTAGATATTCACGCATAATGTCCTGGATTATAGCGCCTGATTGTACAAAAAAATCGCTTCTTTTTTTAGCCCGTTCTCTGTCCATCTCTTCCAAAATGTGGGCGTATCTTGCATAGCAACCGCCTGTTTTATATTCAAGAATTTTTTTGTGTTTTTATCTTTTTCATGCCTCCAGCATATACTTAATTAAATCAACTTGTCCATAATATCATAATTTTATTAATCGGACGTTAAAAGTATAATCAACAACACGTGAATCATATTTCAAAAACTACTGAAATGGCCACTATCCGCTGGTAAATTGGGGGGAAATGGATTCCCAAATTTAACAGTGTTATATATGGCGGGGGGATATCGCTTACACAATCAACTTCTTTGATTATATAAAACCTTTTAATAAATGGCTTCCCAAATTTAACAGTGTCATATATGGCGGGAGGAGATCGCTTACACAATTAACTTAAAACATTCATGTTTTCTTTGATTATATAAAACCTTTTAATAGATATTAGAAGAGTTTCAATTACAGTTTATTAAAACTTTTAATAAAGCTGACTAGTGTTTCAATTAAATTAATTTCTAATACCACTGA